ATAGTAAAGCTGTTTACTTTACTAGCCCCAAGGCTAGAGGGGATCTGCCAGAGGCTTAATTTGACTAGACACTCTGCAGATGGATTTTGGGCTCCCACTGTCCTCCATAGCCTTCTACAAATGGGGTGTTCACAATTTAAGATCTGATACCTTTCCCTTCATTACATTTGGATTTTGTTATTGTCATCTTTGGATCACACAGGCTGGTGTACTTCTTCCATATGGACTTACTTGATGTCTCACTTAGATGGCTGTTTGTTTGAACACAAGTCTTTAAGACCCCAGACACTATTCCAATTGGTACCTGGGCACCATCTGCTTGCTTCACCCCACTTTGCTGTAGCACCTTTATCTTCAGTGATCTCTCCATGAAGGTGAGTATCGAGCAGGGCCACATTATGAGAACTAACTGTTCTTGGATTGGGGCTAGGATTATGTGGGAGCCAAGAATCCATGCGCTTGTCTATGGGTTATGAATGACTGGTTTATTTTGGTGGCTATATTATGGCAAAAAGAAAAAACCAAGAACAAACAAAAAGGCAAAGAAACGGAAAAACACATTGTCAATCATCCCCCTTGGGTAGAAGGCAAATGCATTGATAACACCAATAATTTATACAACGACATAGAATTTAAGATACTGTTGATAAGAGTTTATATGAGTATGCTCCAACTGTGAGCTGCAGTTCATGAGTTTTTGCTTTGTACAGATTGATTTTTTAATTGATTGAGCTCTGTCTACACTGAGCATGGGGATTGATGCTAGGGGAAATTTTCCTGTATCATTTCTTACAAGTGCAGGTCTTTGGTTATCAGATTAAAACCAGTCATATCCCTAAAACAAACAAACAAAACCCCAAAAAACAACTGTCATATTAATGTAAGGGGAGGACTGAGGTACTAAATACATGGTGATTCTGGGTCCCCTTTCATTGGATATTCACTAAGTCAGGGGTCCCACCCAAGTCCCATGACCGCCATTTCTACAGTCTTGGGGTGGCCACCCTTTGCTTCTTCTCCCGTGAGTGTATTTCAGTCCTAAATCCAAGGGTACAGGTAGTTTTGAGGAAACACCCAGTTCGTTCATGAGGGTTCCACACTGAGTCCTTCTCGTGTGGCCCTGGGGCTGCTATGTGCCTGTAAGGACGATATCTGAGTTCATCATACTGTTTTGTCCACGGTTCACCGAGGATTGGGTAGAAACATGTCCGTAGTGTCTACCCAGGAACATAAAGTCAGTTTATTCTCCCTTTGGTTCTCTACAAGTATTGTTTAGTAACCCTTCACAATGTGAGGTGTCTCCTCCCCAGTGACCACAAACCCACCGAAACAGGACCCCCTCCTCTGACACGCAGATGCGCTTCTTTACCCGTTGTCTTGCTTTCATATGCACACGAGGCCACTGAAAAATGACGGTTTGCATCAGGCACACTTTAGACCTCAAAGGGACATCTTTGCTTGTGAGTACTACCATGTCGTTTGCAACTGATCTGTAATAATACATGGTTCGATTCTTGGTTGCTGCTTCCACGGGTGTTGGATTGTGAATCCCACTAAAATGAAATCTTGGACAACTCCAACTTTTTTCCCATTTTTCATAATGTTGGTCCAGATGTGAACGTTCGGTTTTCCTTCTGCTGCGGTGTAACCCATACTTTTGGCTGTAATCATTGACCTTCATCAGTAGGTGCTTCAAGTTCTCTTCACTTTCAGCAAACAAGATTGTTAATACCGGAGTACCCTAAGACTCACTTGCTAACTTGCTGGCTCTATCCTTCTGTATTTTTCCATTGCTTAAGCATTCGTTTTCTTGCCCAGAGCCACTGGACTCAAAATTTGGGGGGGGGGCTGCTGCACACGCCTGTAACAGATACCAGTGGGACGTTTCCTAGTTGCTCACCCCCCTACTCAGTATGTGTAGTTGTATTGGGCATGAAAAGTCAGTCCACCCACATGTGGTTTGTTGCTTTATAAACCGTAGTTTGAGTAGTGCTCTGGACCGAGACACGCTAAGCGATAGCTAACTCCTGGT